CAGTCAAAAAAGAACTTGTGTGTCACAGTTGAGGAAGGACATACATGTAGTGGTACTGTTGAGACAACTGAATGCACAGGATGTTGTCCGTCTTACACCAAGATTGTAACCTATGGACTTAGTATACAGCGAATAAGTGTAAATGGTATATGTAAACCATCGGAGACATTTTCGTTCATGCAGAACTTCACTTGTACAAACGGAAACAGTATTCAGCTCGAGTTACAACAAACAAAACAGTGCTCCTGTTCACAAACTCGGCAGTTCATTTAAAGCAATATTATACAAGCTTGATCGCTTACCAACCAAATTATAGGCCTTCTGTAAATAATTGACAACTCACATTTATTGTTAAATTCCCCTCATACAAAATAATGCAAAAATATAATATGTTATAATATTTATATTAAATGTTACTATTAAGAATTTATATCATTAGGCCTACACGTATTATAATGTATGAATATATATACAAGTAAGTATATGTATGATGTTGTTGTACCGTATTAATTAAAATGATTTATATGAACTAAAACAAATGATTTCTTATTTAACAATAATATTATTAAAACCAATTATAAATGAATATGTCTCCGCACATGTAAGTGTATTTGTGAGCATGGTTCCAGAGAAAATTAAAATATATCAATTTTCATAGAATATATGTGTGTGAAAAGTATTATGTCTCTGAATTACGTTCATAATGGTAGATGCTGAATTATCGCCAGAAAATATGACTTTTCAAACGCATCTTAACAATTTATTTATGAAATTTTAGATAATGAAACAGTGTCTTAAATTCAAATTCAGTTGTTCCTTTATCAGCAATGATACAAAACACGGTCAACTACAATGAATAATAAAATATTGTTTTGAACACTTTAAAACTCTTAAAGATGTACTGTCCCTTGCAAAAAACAAAAAAAAAACTTAAAAATCATTTTTGAAATTTACTTGCCTATTTTGAGGTAACATAAAAATTATCTACTTGAACATAGAAATTAGTGTATTTATAAAAATGCGTACCCATAAAAACCATCATTACAGCGAAAAAGTCACTGGAAGTGTTTTATTATCTTTATTATAATAATGCAGTTAAAAAATCAGGGAACACATTTTTTTAATTTAAATTATTCTATGCTCAAGTTTGTATGTTACTGCAAAATGAGCAAGTTAATTTAAAAATTATTTTTTTATGTTTTTGGTATTTTCCAAGGGACAGTACATCTTTAAGAAATAGAAATGCAACTGAATACTCAAATATTGCTTTGATATTTCCAAATTAATTAAAGAGATACAAATTTGAAATTATAAGTTGTATACCGGTACCATATATCAGTGGCGTAGCGGAGGGGGTTCTGCATATTAGTCTAATATCTACAATATTTTAAAGAAACAGAAACTCACCATAGTGAAATAGCAAACCAAACCACTTTTATACCAAACATATATCAGATATCAGATTGCGCCAACAGAAAGAGTCTAGGCTAATACTAATTGACCACCTAGTGTTAAATAAGCACGCACCCATTTTTTGTTGATTTAATGTAGTATATATAATATATATACTGTCTCTTATACACATCTAGATGTGTATAAGAGACAGCTGTAAGGTCGTACCGTCCTTTTTAAAACAAAATCTTCCTATTGGATGGGTCCGGGTTATCAAAATTGAACACACACCCTCGCCCCGGCGACCAATTCAACAATGGGGGTCTCTTTGGTCTGCTGTAAACATTTTGTTAATACCAAATCACAAAGGCATGTATACAAATATAAAAATAATTATTAAAAAAATTCACTTTGCATTATATCAAATGGTTTATACTATAATACTACATTAATCATTGTATATCATTTAATTCCATTTAAATAATTTAGATAAACTAAGAGCCGAATATTAAAGGTAGTATATATTATACAATGTATTCAACAAGGCAATAATACAGTGCTCGAATACATAGGAACATGATGTTATACATTTTATTAAACATGCTTCTTCATCGAAAGTTCCTTATTAGTTTTATGATAAAAGAGGTTTCTGGTGGGAATCGAACCCACGATTTCTCGCTATCTCGGCGAGCGTCGACCGTTTAGACCACTGAGGCCCGTATGAAGACCAGTCTCTCTCCCTTCATATAACTTTTTAATACATACCAAACGGTAATGCGTTTTCTGACTTTTTCAGGAAGTATTAACAAGAAACCAACGCGAGTACTTATTGGATTTTAAGGTGATTTCTAGTTGTCTCATAAAATTTAAATTAGCAGTGTGCGATCATATTAATTAGCGTCAACAACCGTCGACAAACCGTCAACAGCACAGCTGTCAACATACTAATTTGCGTTAACCGTCAACATACTAATTAGAGTAAACAACTGTAAACTTTACACGAGAAATGAAGTTGAAATTGCAACAAAAAGAAAAGTCGTTTAAAGGTATAAAATAAAAAAATTTAAAAAACCACGGAAAACCAATATAATTTTAATGAAGAGGAAAAAAATGAAGTGGAAAAAAAAACGAAACCCAAGTTCACTATGGCTGCAATGGTAATAGCGAGGTACATCGTGACTCATAACCATTGCGCACCATAAAAGTGCATTTTTAGTTCATAGTGATTCAATGACTGAAAAAAAAAATGTTCATGCATATATATCACAGTAGTTTTGAGTTTAACCTAGCTGTGACTGGTTTAAGCGCTTTAGAAAACGCAAATTGCGTTTAAATAATTTAATCAGCTATCAAAAAAAGTCTTTAAATGGTCCTCATATCCACACTCTACTGCGGATCGTCACCAAAATTGAATATTTTCTTCATTTCACCATGAAAAACTATTCTGCAAAGTGTCATTTTTATCCATATATTCTGGGACGTTAAGCAATTTAAATGACCCTCAAATATACACCCTAACCTGTATCTTCCCCTACACATAATAATATCTTCCTTGTAACTTGGGTTAAACTGTCCCTAAAGTTTCATTCGGACCAGTTGACCCGTGTTTTAAATATCTGGTGTGGGACGTTTTCCTTTAAATGGTCCGCATATTCACACCCTATGCCCATCGGATGCCGGCTCATCACAAAAATTCAGTCATTTCTTTACTGGAAATTTACAAAATATTATAGAAAGTTTCATTTACACCCATTGAAAAGTGTTTATAGATATTTACGTCTGGGATCTCAAAAATTTAAATAACCCTCCAATTTACACCCTTGACTGATTCGTCGCCAGCACTTGAATAATTTCTTCCTTGTAACTTGGTTAAACTTTTTCCGAAGTTGCATTCAGATCAGTTGATCTGTTTTCGAAATATGTGGTCTGGGACGTTTTCCTTTCAATGGTTCTCAGATCTACACCATACTGTGGATCGTCACAAAAATGTAATCATTTTTTTACAAGACCTTTACAAAGTACCTATTATAGAATGTTTCATTTAGACCCATTGTTATTTTTATAATAGATATTTAGGTCTGGGTCCTCAAAAATTGAAAAGACCCTCAAATTTACACCCTTCACTGGATCGTTACTAACACATACAAATTTCTTCCTTGTAACTTGGTTAAACTTTCCCGTAAGTTTCATTCACATCAACTGACCGGTTTTTAAAATATCCGTTGTAGACTGATTTTAAATCACTTTAATTGGTCCTCACATGCACACTCCACCATAGATTGACACTATCCTTGATCCTTGATATTATGGCCTATGCTTCGGCAAAGTACGGATAAATTTTAAGCATGGGAAGTGACCAAAGTGACTGCCAGAAAAAAAACAACAGTGCAAAAATATAGGAAATATATATGCAAGAAAAAAAGGGAAAAAATCAGAACAAAAACAATGGCTTTTTTCCAGTACTGCTGGGAAAAGCCAATAATTGGCCCTGCATGCCCATGCAAACAAGAGCGACTCACCGGTCAGCGCGTTTAACTGAGGTTACCCTCAGCTTTTAATGTTTTGTTCTTTTTTGTTTTTTGTTTTTTTTTCGTATAGGCCTAAATGAACACTATTTGAGAGAGCTAATAAGCTAGAATTTTTTTAATAATTAGATTGTTCATTTGTACAAAATTAAGTTAACCAACTGCGCCATCCATCATGGACGTGTGCATTTGTGGTAATGGCAGTAATATGTATAGTCGTTTTGTTTTGTAGGTGTGGGGCACCCTGGAGTCCAACATAAACTAAAGCGTAATGAACGTTTGTTGGAAATCACAATACCACAATTACCACAATATTGACATGTCACTTAAACTTAAGAACAGAAACCTAAATATTCCCTCGAACTACTCTCCCCCACCTCCTCTCTTCCCCTCTCTCTCTTTCATCCTATCCCTCGCTCTCTTCATCCCCTCTGGCTCCAATCTAATAAACTAACTCTGAATAGTTAATAAAACTAAATCTATGCTTCTTGGCTCTTTGTAACAAAATTAACATTTATTAAGATAATTCAATCTGTAACCTCATAAACACCTTGGTATAATCATATGGATAATACTCAAACTTGAAAATTCCACACATTGACCATTTGGCCATTGTCGAATTACTTGCCCGCACCTCTAAATTCACTAATCTTCCTCTCTTCACCTTTTATATAACTCTATTTCTTTCTAGACTTGATTACTGCTGTGCTGTCTGGGGATCTAAGCCTGCTAGTACCAAAAATAAAACGCAATATAAAGCTCAGTACGAATTTTATTAAATCTCCCTCCAAATACTCATCTATCTTCGCCTCACTTTATGCTCGCTGAAGGCACTCCCGGCGTTTCATAGTACTTAGCAATCCTGACCTGGGAAAATTGACTAAAATTGCCAGAATATTTAGAATTGTTTTAATTAACAACTATGATATTATTAGTTATCTTTTAAAACTAAAAACAATTCAATACTAATTTACACATAGAATCAATGTTGTAGCTAAATTTGTTAGTCACTAGAATATATATATAATTTCTTTAGGTAAATGCATGCTCATAAGATCCTGGAAACAATTCTTTAGTCATTTTAAGGTATCATTCTTTGGTTAAACGGCGGATCGGAAACGTAAGCAGAATAGCAGCCTACCGGCGTGACGCGACACGACGTACGATACATCATCTAGCTTTTGGCTTAGGGACAGTGGCTAGGCCTAGCTTGAACAGCTACACTAAAATACTATTCAAAACACCTGTACGATTTCTAAAGAAAGGAGTGGCATTATTCTCTTGAAAATGTCTGAAGATATTCTATTCCAGCCATCAACTGAAGTGCAAAATGTTGCTCATGTAAAATCGATGAAACAGTATGATGAAATGTACAAAGAGTCCGTTGAAAATCCTGAACAGTTTTGGGGTAAAATTGCCGAAAAAGATTTTTTTTTCAAGTCGCCTCCAATTTCAGGGAAGTTTCTTAATTATAATTTTGATGTTAATAAAGGCAAGGTCTTTGTTGAATGGATGAAAGGAGCTGTCACAAATGTGTGTTATAACGTTCTTGATCGGCATGTTGAAAACGGCAAAAAGGACAAAGTTTGTTTTTATTGGTGAGTAAGAAGACTGTCCTCATCATAGCCTCTAAGCTAGGCCGGGGGTCCCTTTCCGAGATAGGCTAGGGGCGTATTATGCTAGGCCGCCTAGGCCTAGCTACATTTCGTACCCACCCACATATCATTCTGGACCTGATGCTCGTCAAGTCGTACCCAAACAATACAACTGGAGGCGCCAATGCACTTTTTAGTGCTCTAATCTAGGTAGGGCCTACCCTTTATAATACCCATGAAAATAACAACAATGCAATTTTGTGACTTCCTTCCAATAAATTTTCTTTAAAAACACCATAAAATTAAACCAGTTTTTATACATTATTTACTATTACAGACCAAACTTAAACAGTCTCTCCCTCATCGATAAAAACAAAAGCGAAATAATTGTTCTGATTTAAAAAAAAACAAAAAACCGCCCTCCCTCATTAATTTTTTTTTTAAAAGAGTGATAATCTAATAATTTTTTCTATGTGCCCTTAGAGGTGTCAGCATCAGTGCACCAAATCTCTGAAATTTATCCCAGTTTATCAAAAAAAAAAATTTAAAACATACAAAACATTAGACAAAAGAAAAAAAATTCTGAAATGTATACTAATTTATTTATTAAAACATACACACAATAAATGACAATATTCAAATAAAACAAGACCATTTATAAAAATACAATACCAATACTAATTTATCTACAAATTAAAAATTTACAATTTCAAAAGTTACTTTAAAAATAAGAATGATTTAAATATTTATTTTTTTTTATAAATAAAATAAAACTAATTAAAACATATCAATAGAATTATACATTTACACTCAGCCACTGTAATTTTTAAAAATCACACACAATTTTAAAATAATTTATAGGGACATTCATTACCTGTAGGTAGACCTGTGGTCTACATTTAATATAATTGATATTTCACAAAAAAAAAAAAAGGGAATTTAATTTTAGTTTGATTAAATGAGTTGTATTGCACATTTAGTTCAATAGATAAGTCGACTCGTATCCAACTTGGCTAGGCTTAAAGTCGTACTCAACGTAACTCACATACTCTATTTATGAAAAACTTGTACCCACCAAAATATTTAATGAATCTCTATATTTTAGCTACTGTATGTTTTATCAAGGCAATTCAACAAAAGGACGCACATCAAAGGTCGTGTGCCCCTACATGCTTGACTGGGTTTAACGTGCCCAGATCATCACAAAAACCGTAGCAACCAAACCATAATTAACTGTCGGCATGTGATGAATTACCACGTGCATGTCAGTTGCCATGATAATCACACATCGTGCTGTGATTATAAAGGCCCAATGACATTTTGCATTAACATAGACTGATTGCTGCGAAGCAGCCAATTCATATTCTTGACAGCAATTTGACCTCTGAAAGGTCATTATTTGTCAAAAAACCTGCGCCTAT